GGGCCCCCCCCCCCCCGGCCTCCCCGCGGGGGGGGGCCGGGGGGGGGGGGGGCGAGCCGGTGCTGTGTCATTAAGATGGCAGTGGTCCCTTCTCCACCCGTCTCCACCCCGCCGGCATCCCTGCTCCTCCCTCCCGACCCCCGCCTGCCCTCGGCGGACCCGCGGAGGGCGAGGTCCCCCCGCCTTGGCCTCCTCCGCAGGCTCCGGCCCCACCAGAAGAAACGGGCTGTGGTTGGAAGATCGGGGTCCTTCGGGGGAGCAGCGCACGGCAGCCTGGCCCTCTCGCCCTCCCCCAGCTCCACGGCCATGCCTGGCCCTGCGCTCCCCGCTCCGACGCTGCCCCAGCTGCTGGGAAGCCGGCTGAGGGCTTCTTTTGCAGCCTCTCTATTTGGGTCCCTCGCCTCTTCGATTTAAAAAGGGTGTCTCTGCCGAACGAGCGAGGCGTTTTCCAGGTTCTTCTGGGATGGGGAGGGCTCGTTCCTTATCCATTTCGGAGCTGCTCACCAGCTTTTGAACGCAGCAGCAAAAATAAACGGTGGTCTGTTAACCTTCCTCCCGCTGTACTTCGGCAAAGCCCCCTACGGCACTGGGAACTGGCGCTTTCAGACAGGGCGGCACGGGTTTGCTGGTAACGATCGTACCGCGCTCTGCACGCGTGAACCGAGCGTGCGAAGGGCCTTTTGCGAGGTGAGCTTCTGAGGAAGCTCAGGCCCTCCTGATTCGGTAGCATCCTGCCAGGAATGAACAGGCAAATTGGTTTTCAAATCCGTCATCTTGACAGCAGTACCTGTTTTTTGGGGACAGCCAAGTTGGGGCTTGCCATCTTAATTCTGACTAGCCACTAAGTGGCTGGTATGTAGGAATGAGCTGTAGCCATGAGTTAATGAATAATGAATGGTGTTCCTAGAGGTAAGCCTGTGCCTGTCCCAGCAGTTGGGATGGCGTTCTTTACCACCTCCCTTCAGTTTTTGTCTCTCCTTCCTTCCAGGAGTCCGATGGCGGCTTGTATATCTGCATGAACACGTTCCTGGGCTTTGGGAAGCAGTATGTGGAAAAGCACTATCAGAAAACAGGCCAGCGGGTCTACCTGCACCTCAAAAGAACACGTAAACCGGTAAGAAATAAAAATACCGACAGTGAAACCTGTTCTGAAATTGAGAGCTGGGCTATGTCCTTGTATTCAGTCAGAAAGAGTTTTCTCTCCTCAAATACAACCGATGTTTTTCTTGGTGAACTGAGGTGCACCGGTCCTTCAGCTCTGCTTACGTTGAATTGTTGTATGGAATGCCCGCGCTATTTCTGCCTGGCCTCTTTCCTGCGTAGCTTAATTTCAGTCCTTGGGGCTTGCCACAGCTTGCCTGTCCCCCTAACTCTATTTCCCTCTTCCTTCTCAACACGATAGAAGGAAGAAGACACCAACTCCAGTGCTGGGGACCCCCCAAGGAAGAAACCGACTCGCTTGGCTATCGGTAAGAAAGCACTTGTGTACCATATCGTCCTTCTCGTTTTGGACCAGCTTCTCTGGAGCTGCCTGGCTTCGTGGCACGTCTCTTTTGCCTTTCTTCACCTTTTGTAGCGTGTCGTAGGTGGGCAGTTACAGCAAACCAGTTGTTGAGGTGGTCGTTTTGTTCTGTGTTCAAAGTTGCATCGTGTTTTCTGTAGACAAATATGTTTCGCGTCCTCTCGTAACTCCGTGTGCCTGAGTCAGCCTGGTGTGGGTATAACCAGTGCGGGGCTGTTGCTTTAGGGATGCATCCAGTGTGGGGCTGAAGTAAGTTTGATGAAATGTATAGGTCTGAGAAAAGTGAGTTTGAAGTTTCTGATAGAAAAACTATTTTTTAAACCTCTGAGAAATTGAACTAGGGTTATTTATATAGACGGGGAAGAAATTACTGGTAAATGCTGTATTAACACTTTGGGCTCGATAGTTCTTTGAAATGCAAGGCTGATGCTGGAGGAAACACACGTGAACATTAAAATATTAAAAACAAGCCCATTTTTGGAAGAGCAGGGCTGGTGTTCCATTACCTCTCGCACCGACTGCGAAGGCTGTCTTGGCAATCGGTGAAGATGCTGCTTATTCGGAGCAGTAATTTCTGAACCATTACGGAGAGCCATAAAGCAGAGGATAGGAACATTTTTTAGCAGTAACAGGTTCTTGGCTTGCTGGAAGCTGACCACTAGAGGGAAATCCAGAACCTGGACCATGCACATCTTGCTTTTTGCTCACTTTTTCCCTGGCTGTGCCATTGTGTGGCAGACGCCCAGCGACTCCACTGCTGCCACAACGCAAACACCAACGTTAAGACTTTCAGCTGCTCCCTGTTTTTACGGTGAGGTGAATGAAGTCCCCAAGGTTACGTCGAGCAAAATTGAGACTAGAATCTACGTTTCTCCCGATAGCCAGTGCTTTTATGTATATGATTGTGCTGCTTTTGGAGAGGTGAGGCCCAGTCTGCATTATGAGTTATTTCTGCATCCTTGATTCTACAGAGGTCTTGAGACAAGTGTTGTCACTGGGTCAGCAAATAGCTGCCTGTGATAACAGCTTAGCGGCGTGAACGGAGCGGGAGGGAATAAAAGACAGTATTAGCCCTGCGAGGCAGCAATCTTAAATCCAGGAGAGATTTTTTTTTTTTCCTCTTTTTTAGCTAAACCGTGGTGGTTTAGCTAATCCTGACATGGGAAACTTTTTAAAGTACTAGAAAGATTTAGGAGCAAAATGTTACTGGCTGCAAAATGTAGCCCTTGATCTCTCTGTAGCTTAGCTTTCCCTCTCCATGGGGAAAAAAAAAATCTATAGCGCTTGTCTCCCATGCCCGCATGTTGGTTGAACGACTTTTGGAGTTTGCGGCGCTTCGATACAACCGTGGAGAGGGAGGCAGCGTGCCTCATGGCGAGCTGTTGCCTGTACGTGGGGGGAAAAGGGCTAGGAGGCAGTCTGCTGGCTGAAGACCCTCTTCCTCATCCGGAGCCTCAGAAGGTTCACATAACCACCCGAGGGGACCTCAGTTTTAGTTTGTTTAGAGTTCAGGCATTGTGTAATACCCCGAGGGATTGTGTATTGCTTTACTCGATGAAGTGGTGACCGGAGATCTCTCTGGGGTGTGCCGAAGAGGCACAGAAGAGGATTATCTGGGTACGTTGTTGCATGATGCTAGTGACTGTTTTCAGGTATTTCTAAAATCATTCAGACTTGCAGCAACTGCCTTCGTACATGGCAGTTTGTGCATAGGCTAAAAATGTAGGTATTCGAGGGGAGAGTTGCAGGAGATATTGTGGGAACCGGGTATTTTTGTCAATGTTTTAACTAAATGCAGTAACGGTTACCAGAACTGTGTCACACACAGGATTCTGGAGGCTGAGGCATTAAACAGCAAAAGCTCGTATTCCCTTCAGAGATTTGTTGCAGCGACGGATCTTCAGAGATCTGTTGTCGAGATCTATTGCAATCACGGCATGCCGTTTTTAAAGAAATAAAGGAAATTCAGTTAAAAAAACCATAGGGGGTTAAGGCTGCTAGTAAGCAACATGTCTTCTGCCTGTTCCTTTCTGGGATGTAAAGTGTCAATGCTCGGAGAACAGGAAAGGCCAAGGTTTTTTCCTGATTACTTCTAT